TCCGCCGAGCCTGCCCGGGCTGGTCCGGGGGCGGTCCGGGGGCGGTCCGGGACCCGTCCGGGGGCGGTCCGGGGGCGGTCCGGGTCGGTCCGGGGGCGGTCCGGGACCCGTCCGGGGCGGTCCGGGTCGGTCCGGGGGCGGTCCGGGGTCGGTCCGGGGGCGGTCCGGGGGCGGTCCGGGTCGGTCCGGGGCGGTCCGGGGCGGTCCGGGGCGGTCCGGGGGCCGTGGCCGTGGCTCCTGGGCGAGGCGGGCAGTGCTGTCCGCCCCCACCCCCTCCCAGTGGTGGAGCGGCAGGGGCAGCCGGCGGAGAGCGCGGGGAGGTGAGGCGGGGCAGTGGGTGCTGTGGGACAGTGCCTCGCTCATTCTCTAGGCTTGGCTCGGCTCGGCTCGGCTCGGCTCGGCTCGGCTCGGCTCGGCGTGGCTTCCAGTGCCGCCTGAGTGGCGGGGAGGGACGGTGTGCCGAGGAGCGCAGGTTGCGGCCGGCTGCGCTTTGCCCTTTGCCTGCCCGGGCCGTGTGGGGCGCGGGGCTGGCGAGGTCCCTGGGCCGGCCCCAGCGCGGTCGGGCTGCCCTGGCCGGGTGAGGTGCGGTGCTGACGGCTTCCAGAAGACCAGCACCGAGCCCCTGGGTTTGCTGCTTTCAGCTGTGTTTTGAGGCCGTGTGTGTTTCTGCGGGGTCTGTTGGCTGTCTCCCAGTCTTTGTGGCTGCTGGTTTCTCAGCTTTTATGGCCCCAAATAGCTCCCGTGGAAGTCAGTTTTGATTTTGCTTTTGTGTCTGATTCCTCGTTGTGTATCGTATTGTACAAGCTCCGGTAGGAAGTACGATGGACAAATGAAGGCTGTAGGAGTGCTAACGCTGACACATTTTTTTAAAGTACTTGTAACAGGAAGCGGGAAAATTCTTGCTGTAAATCTTCCTGACCTAGTAAAACACTACAAAAACTAGTTCTGTCTTTATTTATTGCATAACGATGATCAAATGGGGACTCTTTATTAACTGCTTGTGTGACAAGAGCAAGATTTTGGGTGAAAGAGATGCCTGTGTCAAAGCCAGGTGGGAGCTGCTGCTCTGACGGTCCCAAACCTGTGCTGGTCACAGCCTTGATGGTGCTTGGCAGTAGCCTGGGGAGCACAGCTTGGTAGAAGATCCATTAAAAGTTACTGAGCTGAATCAAGGCTCTGGTGTGCTTCCAGCAGCAGCTCTTAGATTTATAGCATTTTCTTCAGGGACTCAGCAAGCTGCTGGATGTGTTTTGTTTTTCTTCTTCAAAAATTCAGCACCGTGCAATTTTATGACTTGGGCCATTTATACGTGTTTAGATTCTTAAAAAACAGGCTAAAAAGTCTTGCACAAAAGCTGCACAAAAGTATTTTAGAATACAGAATCCTTAATTCAGATATTTTAATTCACATATTTTATGAGAAATGAGACACCTATTACTTATCTTTTGGTATTACTGGTTTCCTCTCTCCTCCTGATAATAAGACATTGTTTTTTTTAATACATCACTGTTTTTGATAAATATAATTTTGTCTGCATGAGCTCTTCAGGTTCTTTTAAATGCCTCCTAACAGTACATTGAGAATGATACGGGAAACTTACTAACTTAATTTGGATTTAAATAAAAAATATGCCACATTAAAATTCTTATTCCTTCATTTTGACAGGTATCAGGAGTTAAAATGACATAGGAAAGTATTCAAAGTATGGACTGTGAAATTAACTCCTTCCACTTGATGCTGAAAAAAGGTACTGTTTTCAATTTATTTGAATATTGATAAGGCTCCCCTTTTCTCTGGGGTTTGGATACACTCATTGTCTCCAGTTTGATATGCAACAGAATGAATAGGTAGCACTTCATTGTTGTAGAGTCAACCAGTGGTGACCAGTTATGTACAGCTACAGATACTGTTTTTGTTTCCTTCCTGCTGTTCTTTGGTAAAAGCAGTTTATACTGGTTTAACAGTTTTAACAGTTAATACTGTCTTAAAGTTGAACTGGAATTTAGCTTGCAAAGACCTAACTATTGCAGGCTTCTTTGACTGCATTTTGATGTAGCTTCCCCAGAATGCCCTGGATAATGGGTTTGTATTAAAGATACACCTTTTCTGTAGTTCTGCAGTTTGCAAGATTGTCTAGAAAGGAGATGCAAGGACTACAGTTTGTGATCATTGTGTCAATGTCAGAATACCAATATTATAATGCTAATTATTATCTTGCCCTAAATTTTTGTTTCCTTTTAGTCTTGAACATGTCTTACAAGGTTTCTTGACAGATGTGTAACATTTTGACAGAAACTTCTTTTCCTGAACATACTTGCTAGAATTCTTAGTCAGTCTCTACTGCAAATTTTGTTGCTCTTTTAAGTTATCATTCTAATATACAGGGGATTCTCTTGCTTTTACATTTAGTAAATGAAAATTTAGTTTTGTATGTGTATGCTGCTGTCCAAATGATATGTTTTGTAAAATATTTTTTCCCCTTTCTCTGCTTTTTACAGGTAAACTGAAACTCCAAAAATTATGACCTTCTCATTGGCAAGTTACAGGAAAAGCACATACAAGGCAACTAAATAAGTACTGTGGTATGAGGGTTTTGTCAGATAAATTGTCCAAAAGAGCTATTTACCTGGAGGCTGTAATATTAAATGATTGAGCTCTGCACTGTGTGACCCTCACTAACACCCCAGCACTTCCGCATATGAAATGCTTCAAAAGAAGAAACTGCTGTGGCTTATTTGTGACTGAAGTGAATTACATTCCATATAAAAGTAAGTCACTTTTTCATGGAATAACTTATCTGCTTCCTGCTATTTTTAGCTGGGTAGAAGGCAAATATTAACTAGGACCTGTGCAGTAAATGTTTTGCAATGGACTGCTAAATGCAAAACCAGCTTTTGCTTTAGGGTGAGAGCCAGCAACATGTAAAACAATCAAAAGCTGAGGAAAAACAAGGCCGCTGAATGCAGATCTTAGCCTACAATGACTGCCCAGAAGGGGAAGGATTTAATTGTTTGCCACCTGGTTGATAGTAGAAAGCTTGGGGAGGTCTCTGATGACACCTTATCAAAAAAATACTGGTGCATCTGAGAGGGAAGCAGGACTTGGTTATGGTTTAGGGTTTCATAGAAGCCACTTGTGGGCTGTGAGGGCAGTGAGTCTGTGTTTAGTCATGTCTTTGTTGGAGAAAACTGAAAAAAAAGACCTGAGGTGTGAATTGAAATGATGATTCTTGGACACTTTTTTTTTGTGTCTGACCGCAGCAATTCATATTAGCTGTGGTTTCCACGGACATTTCATTTTAGATGCCAATTTTAAGTGGCAGATGAAAATGGAGTTACAATACACTTGTGCTTCTGCAAAGAACTGCAAGTTACTGCTCTTAAAAGCTACCTCAGCTGTATAAGAACAGTTCAAAGAAGGAAACCTTGTACATCTCTTGATTGTGACTCTTGTAAGCATTTGGAAAGAAGAGTAGGTTAATCAAACTTGTTTTTTAAATTATGCAGTATACCTTAAATTGCTATGCTAGCATAATTCGTCTTTGCTTGAGGATTTAGTGGTTTTTTTTTGTTTTGTTTTGTTTTTAATTTAACTATGCTGGTAAAAGAATATTATGTTTATGCAAGAGTTATTCCATTGGGATTGTTCTAGTTCCAGGAAAAGTTTTAGTAGAAAGCTGAAAACTGAGCAGCTGTTTGTGAAGGCCAAGAGTTGCTGTAGTTGAAATTTTCAGTGATTGGGGCTAAATTACCAAATACATGTTTTCCCTCCCCAAGATGACTAATGCTTCTTCTGATTTTTTTTTTTTTTCTTAAGGAGTAATGTAGGGTGCAGAGGGCAGTGCAGCTTGAACAATCTTACCACACCAATGGAAAAAACTTCTGATTTGCAGCAAAATATGACATCAATATTTTTGCTTATTGGTCTTCTCATTGTACTGATACCTCTCTTCAGTGCTGGTAGGTTAAATATTTTGTTGAAATTACCATTTTACAAAAGAAAATCTGCATGAGATGAGTTGTGTGTATTTAATAGGAAAGAGTTACTGAGAACAAGTAGTGAATTTGGGGTTCGTTTTTGCTTTAGCATATTGACAATAGCTGAATACCTCTGCTGGGTTCAAATTGCACTGGGGATGTCATGGACAAATAGAGATAATTTTTTTAAAAGTCTAGGCACATAAATTTAGAGCTCTGAGGTTTGATTAGCCTCTCCATGTTTCTTATGAAGAAATCCCAAAGTGATTGGCTTCCTTGACTCAAGGTAAGCTAGAGAGTGCCTTTTTCATGAGACATTCTGTATGTCTAGTCCTGCAAGCTGTTTTCTTTACAATTAAATTAATAATATTTTTAATGATAGGTCTAGTATTTCAGTAAAGTTTAGAACTACATAAGTTAATTATGCTTGTCTTGTTACTCTTGACATAAGCAGTCTAATAGTAATGTGTCTGAATTAGATTGAACTATATGGAGACCTACTTGGAACTCTTTAAATGGGAAGGCAGTGATATTAGAAAGATAAGTGAAGATTTTATTTATTTTGAAATTGTATTTGTACAGCCATTCAGCAAGATTTGTAATATCAGTTCAACCAGATGTTTTGCAGTTTTGTGAAAATTCAGTGTTGGACATAAAACCACAGAATGCTTTGGATTGGAAGGGTCCTTAAAGATGACCAGTCAGTGGTCCAAACTCCCTGCCATGAGCAGGGACACCTTTCACTAGACTAGGTTGCTCAATGTCCCATTCAGCCTGGCCTTGAGCATTTCCAGGAATGGGGCATACACAGCTTCTCTGGACAAATGTATGCAAAAGCTTGAAAGTTTTACAATCTGCTTTATAGCCAAATGGTCATCTCTGTTTGTGCTACAGTGGTATTCTCCAGTAAGTTTTTGTTTACATATATGAGCTCTTGATAACTTTTTGCAATATCTATCCTTTTTTCTTTGATTTTTTTTAATGATGTTGAAAGAAATGCTTCCTAAGCTGCATGATTTTGTCCTGTTAAGTTGTTACACAGGCATGGTTAAAAAAGCTATGTTTACATTGGCCTTTTCTGTGATGTTCAGAATAATGGGCCTTCTGGTTAAAGGTGCAAAAGGAAGGAAGGAAATAATACATTGTGGTCAAGACTTCTTAATCTGAATACTTTTTCTCTCCAAATTTTTTTTTCCTTGTTTTGTTTTTGGCCCCACAGTCCTAGTGACTGAATACTGTCAGAGCTCTGTTTGCTGCTGCTGTTTGCACTGTGCTTTACATAGATAGTATTTGCTTTAAGAATCTGGCAATTCTGCAAAAGTACTAACTATTACTAAAAGTAATAACAAGGACATGACAGGTAAGTTGGGAAGCTTGGAGTTGCCTGATGGATCCCATGGATCTTCTTACAGCCTGGTTTGCAATGAGGCTGTTTGACTTGCATGTGCTTGCTGCTGGCTACCTCAACAGAGGGAAGTTGTACCTTAAGCTTATGTGATCATGTTCTCAACCAGAAGGTGGTAACAAACAAAAAATAATAGCCTTGTGATGTTTTAATGGCAAATTGTTACAGAAAGTTTTTCTGAATCTGTGTAACTTGGAATTGGTATTAATATTTTTTAAACATAAAAGTATATAAATTGAAAGCATTGGGTTTTCTTCAATTTTTAATTTTTTTCTTTTTTAAAAATTTTTCTTTTTTTTCTTTTTTTTTTTTCATTTTTTTAACAGAACGGTGTGTTATTTGTGATTACTTTGTACTTGTTGGAGAGCCTATAGCTATTACTTGCCCAGTAATTACATTGCCAGTGCTTCACTCTGATTACAATTTGACATGGTATAAAAATGGTAGTGCTACGGCAGTGACCACAGAGAGAGATGCCAGGATCCACCAGCGAGAGGGCTTGCTTTGGTTTATTCCTGCTATGCTGGAAGATTCTGGACTTTATGAATGCAATGTAAGGTAAGGAAGGAAACAAGTGGATTGCTAGTGCTTGCAAATGTGATAATTAATTTGTGAAACTTTAGTGTACAAAACTTCTTGTTTTAGGTAAAATGCTTAGATCAGTTGAAAGCGCTGTTTTCACCATGCCTTTTGTTTCTGCATGATGCCTGTGTTTCTCTGCTGTTCTGTGCATTTAGTACTGCAAAAGTGGTTCATACAGAAGACTGTCTTAAAGCATGATAATACTAAAAATGGTCTGTGGGGGTGGTTGGTTGCTTTGTTTGTTTTGGATGAAGTGTAAGGTCACAGGAAAATGCCTTAACCTCTTTGGCTTTTCCTGTGTTCAAATTGCTCTTTGATACTGACAGATCAGAAGAACACTGGTTTCTCTGTAGGTCAAGGCTAAATGTAAGAATGTTCTAAGAGGAGCAAACAGTGCATTTTATCACCACACAGACTTTCTGGAGAGCTTAGCAACTTTTTGGAAGTCTTACTAGAATTCCACAGGTTAAAAGGCTGAAAACAGTTTTTATGATTTATATTAAAATACTGCCATTACTGGTCAAAAATTAGAATACATTAAAAGAGCAAAGCAGTGTGCTAGACAGCTTTTGAGGCTGAAAATGATGTGTCTCTACTACTACTCAAATCATCTGAGTGCACAGAGAGCTAAAAAGGAATAGATTCTTTGAAAAGTATCTGTATCTAGCTTTTTTATACTTTAAAGTTTTGGCTAGATGAATCTAGCCAATCATTGGACCTCACTACTTAGATCATCAAATCCTTTTTAGAATGGTTGAAATTCACTGTGTGCTGAACGGGAAATTCAGTTTGGGAAGACATACATAAAATGTTTCTTTCCTTATGGTGTTGCCACTACATACTGAGAATAGCCAATACAGACTTTTCAGGTGGCCCTAAATTTGATTTAGTAGTGTGTAGTTATCTGTACTGTTGTGCATAGAGTTGTGCTGGAGGGGTTTGGGTTGTGAATGTAGTAACAATGATCAGCAAAAGCTTCCAATGTCGCAGGCACATTCTTTCACTGGAGTTTACCATGAAACCAAAATTGGAAGTCAGAAGACATGTAATCCTTTCAAAGCTACCCAGCTGCATAATTTTGATTTAGCCTTTCCTGCTATGGTTTTAGTTACTTGAGGTGTGAGATGTGTTCCTGTGGGCATCTCACATCCTTGGCTTACATAATATCAGCAGAACAAAAAACTTGCTATGGTTCAGTTGTATTAACTGTAAGTAACATTTTGTACGTCAGACACTTAAGCCTTAACTGCAGCTCTGAGAAGTTCCTGCCATCCCCTCTTATGTGTCCAGAGCAAATTCCATTTCTGCTCACAACACAAACTCAGAGCTTATTCCCATCTCTTCACCGGGAACAGGGGCTGAGAGGCTGAGGATTTTGTTTACAAACTAAGGGAATATAGCAGGGATGTTATAGAGGCAAGGCTGGTGGAGATGCTGAAGTCTTTCTCCCTGACTTACTGGAAATAATGCACTGTTAATTACCTGACTTGTCTGCTGTTCTAATTACAGGAGCCTTAACCACTCTAACAAAAAAACTATAAACTTAACAGTTTTTAAGAACGATAATGGTTTGTGTTTTAATGGAAAAATGAAGTTTGAACAAAAAGTGATGAGCACAAGTACTGGAAAGATTATATGCCCTGATCTAGAACAATTTAAAAATGAAGACAGTGATCAACCTGAAGTACATTGGTATAAGGTACTGAGCATGTGTATTTCATATATACAAGATACAAAATGCATTATTAAAAATGTCACATGAAGTAACTGTGAAAAGCAGCTTTTGGAAGGGAAGGTTTATTTTCTCTACAGTTTGAGTATGGCATGAGTGTGAATCAGATTTGTGAAATTCTGGTTTATCCTTTGATTTTTTCAATGTAGATAATAATTTTAAAACTTATGTGTTTCTGTAAATAGAAGGCTTTGCATAATTATTTCAGTTTCTCAGAATACTGGGCATTGTTGACCATGTGGTATTCTTATGCTGCTTGCTTTGGTTCTTTGAAAATGCTCTGTAGACTGTGTAAGCTTGAAAACATGTATTTTATCTGTTTTAATGTAAAAGTTTAAACAGTTCAACTCCTAATTCTGATGCTGGTATTAAAGCAGCTACATGGGCCTATACATGTTAAATAACCTTTGTGCAGCACCTGTACATCTTTTGAGGTGAAAAGATTCTCTACTGCTTTTAGGTCAAGGAATAGAAGGAGGCTTTTTTCCCAGAATTTACATTGCCACAAACAACATGAGGCACTGCTACAACAGCTCTTTCATCACAGAGAAGTAGGGGTGGAGGCATGTGTTCTCATAAACTCTGCTACCTGTGTAATGACTTCTATTACACCTGAGATAGAAAACTGTCAAGCTGTTAATGTAGGCTGTGAACTAAAGCATAGCCTTTGAAAACTTAAAGGGTTGGCTGCAGATATTTTTTTGCAAGTGGAAATGGAGCAGGATATTATCAGACTTTGTTAGACTGTAGTAATGCTTGGAAAAGAATCCACATCATGGCTTTCAAAGAAGTCAGTGTTTGCCAAATATTTTAATCATCAGAGTACAGTAACTGTTTTGTCAGATTTTTTTAGTTCTCTTAAAATGACAGGTACCTTTGTTGTGTTTAGGAGTGTAAACCTGGATTTCTTGAAGACAAGCGACTTGTTTTGGCAGAGGGTGAAAATGCTGTCTTGATTCGTAATGTAACTGTGCAAGACAGAGGAAACTACACGTGCCGTATGGTATACACATATATGGGAAAACAATTTAATGTTTCAAGAACCATAAGTCTAGAGGTTAAAGGTGAGTTCATGAGGTTATTCTCTTTGTCTCTGCTGTAAACATTTGTATGCAGGTATAAGATATTTGGCACGTTTATTTTCAGGTCTGTGAAATTAGAGGTGTAAGTCTTCTTTAATTTATTCCTAAACATAAAATTGAAAGGCAGTGTTGCTACCCTTGAGCATTGCTTTTGAGGAAGAATTGTCATGGGCAAATGAATAATGCAGGGTTAGGAATGAGAATTAGAAGAAAGCAGTGATTCCTGGGATGGAGGTATTGCTTTTGCCTAAACAAATAGTGTACCATAAAAGTAAATAAATTTAAAAATATAAGATTTTTTTTCTGAGACTGTCACAGCAGATGACCTGCTTGAAGGCCTGTTGGTGACCTGGCTTCTCTGTTGATGGGAAAGGAAATGTGATAAGCTGTACTGTATAAATAATAAAAAGTTAATAAATCTTCAATTGGAAAGGATTGGCTTACTGTTGGCACTTAGTAGTGTTTTTTTGCTGTTTCACTCTGCCAATAGTGTAATTTACTGCACTTACCACTGTGATTATGTCTTTGTGGGCAATGTTGTGACCTGACTAGTAACATGATAATAGTCCTATCAGAATAGTTGTCTGGAGACAGCAGGTCCATCTTTTTAGGTTAAACCAAAATTCTGACTTTATATAGGTGATATAAGAACAGTGGGTTGTTAGCAACCAATCTATACATCGTGCAGAATGATACAATTCCAGCCCAAGTATGTGTTTGTTTAAACACATTAATTAAAAAATTAATTAAAAATATTCACCTTATCTAGGAAGTCATTGATACAACCCTTTTTCTCTTCCTTATCCATCTCTGAAGAAGAACTGCATTTTTTGGTTTTGTCTTTGTTGGTTTTGTGCTACTTTCATGTCTGCTGCTGGTAAATATAAGATTTTTTTAAAGCATTTAAATTTTTTTTTTTGTTAACTTGGAAGCTAAAATAGTATAACTTGGAGAGAATAGAGCAAATATCTTATGAGACATTTATTTTGTAGTAAGTATGGCACTACAGTAATACCAAACAATAAACCCAGACCCACTGTAAAACCAAAACTATTGTCAGTTAAACTAAGTTGTGGATCTTTTCCTGCCTGAAGGTTTTATTTTTCTTTGTTTTGGTTAGAAAAACCACTGCAGATGCAACCAGAGTTTATTTATCCAAGGAACAATACAATTGAAGTAGATCTTGGTAAGTACTGATTATTTAAGAGATCATTAACTTTAATGAAACAAATAAGCTCCTGGTCTTTTTCAAAAGATATGTGAACAGTTCCACAGATTTCAGCAAGACTGGGAGATATGTGTGTGGATTGAGAATATCTGGAAGACAGAGGATAGATAACAGCAAGTGTTTCCCACAAATAACTTGTGGGGGGAAGCAACTGTGCCTAGGATTGGAGTCTCTTGACCAGGTTGTGACCTGAGCATTGTGCAGGATGAATTAATTAATTAATTAATTTATTCATTCATTTATTTATTTATTTATTGTTATTTCCATCTGTCCTTTTTGCCGTTTCTCAGTTTTTGTGTCTTGATGTATCCTCAGTATCTGTGCAAATAGGTTTATGTACATGTAGCATGTTTGGATAGTTAGCAGTTGACTCATTCAGTAGCTCTTTCCCTTCCTATATGTTTCCTGTCTCCATTCCCTTTCCACAACCTGGATTTTAATCCTTGTTTTAGGGTAATACAGATTTTGGATATTGATCTTTAGTGAAAAAGTGAGCTGCTAGTTGATGCATATCCCAGGTACTGTTTATCTTGGAAGTTTCTTAAATAAGAGATTCTTGGTATAAGGAATAACTTCTTCACAGAGAGGGCAGTGCAGCAGGCTGCCCAGAAAAGTTGTGTCTGTCTTTAGAGGTTTTAGAACCTGACTGAATAAGTCTCTGAACAGCTTGATCTGACCTCAGTATCAGGACATACTTTGAGCAGGAGATTGGATTGAAGACCTCTCTTTCAACCTCAATTGTTCTGCAATTCTCTGGACCAAGTATATGGTATTGTAGTCTTTTCCCAAGCAAAGTTACATGTGTTTAAAGTGCACCACATATCAGACAGTTATGTTCTACTGACAAAGTCCAGAAGAATGAGATTGGAGCTGCTTAAACTGCATTTTAAAAAATAATTTTGTACCAAAAGGGGCAGTTTCAAACAAAATACTTGATTTAAAAGGGCATTAACTGATTTTGGAGAAGTGTCATTGGCTATTTACAAGAATTTCTTAGTACAGGAAACAGTTTAATAATCTTTTGGAGAACTAAAAATTAGAGAAACTCTGAGCAAAGGTTTCATTTGGACTCTGACACATAGGAGGTCAGGCTAGAGCATTGTGGATTATTTTTACGTGCATCACCTCATGGAATCTCACATAACACATCTACTTTTGCTCTTGCTTTTTCTGACATTGAGCTTGTAAATTGTGTACAGCAGGTGTTGTTTTCTCCTCTTAAAGTTTCATGTGTCTTTTTGTATCACGTGAAACATTTTTGCCTGTCCCAAATTCTAACTTCCAGTGTATATGGTATTAAATTGGACAGCACTGAAACGCTAGTGAGTTTTGTCTGTGTGTTTAGGGGTGTTTTGGGGGTTTAGTGGTCTTTTCTTTTCTTTTCTTTTTGACCTCAATAGCCTGTGAAAGATAACTTACTTGGAAGTTGCCACATTCTGGTGAGGATCGGCAGATTTTGACCAGAATTGTGAATGTGCTTTAACAGAAATTATATTCTTCCAGAGTCCAGAAGGCTTTGTTTTAAACAGTGAGAATATTCAGGATCTGATGCAAAAAGTATTATTTTAAAAGCTTACAGTCCTGTGGTCTTCAGATGGTTATTTATTTCTGTTGAAATAATCTAGAATTGCTCAGCAGCTCCTTCTTTTCTGGGAATTACATCTTCTCTGTCTTCATTACAAACAATACATGCCTGAAAAATTTTTTGTTCTTCCACTGTTAAGGAAATTTGTTCACTAGATTTTGGATAAAACAGGGAGACTTGGCATAGTAATTATTTTACTTCACATAGCCCTAATTTTTGTGTGAAAACTTGATTTTTTTCTTTGTAACTGTAACTATGGAAGAAATGAAGTAATGTTACACTTGGAATTCCCTGTACTGTATGTCCCACCCATGAAAGTATTGTGCAAGTGTCATCCCCAGTTTTGACTGGTAGTTATCTCATTTAATTCAGAAAAGCTCTTCCTGATGCAGCCTCTACTCAGCAGGAGTCTGATGTACAGAATCTTAAATTTACTGAAGGCAGTGTTACGGTTTTTTTCAATCTTTGGTAGTATTTTCTGAGCAATTTATTAGGCTGGCTGTGACTCTCAGCCTAAGTCATTAAGACTGTGTCATAGGACAACTTGTTAAGAATCCTTATTGTAGAATTTGGTCCATATTTGTTACAGCTTGGACACAGCATTAATTAAAAGTTGTGCTGGTCTATTGTTAGATGCTTTGGTCTACCCAGGAAGAGCAAACCTTGATTGCCTTACAGACATTATGGTAATAGCCACAGGTGAGACTAAAAGGAGACTCCAGCCACAAAGTGGGTTTATTGTGACTACTGAGGTCTACAAATGATTCCCTATTATAGGGACACATGGGAAGTAACTTCTTAAAGGAATTTGATGAGACTTGTTTTTGTTGCTTTTAAAATGACATTGCCATTCAAATATTCAATATTCTTTGCCCAGTACCTTCAATGGGGTGTTAGGGGAAAAAATTAAAACCTCCTACTGCATGTCTGGCTGTGGGCAGAATATCTAAGCAGCTGCATGAACACTTGGATGGAAACAGCTATATGATTTTCGAATGAGAAGTGGCAGAAGATGCTGTAGAAACTTAACAGTACATTCATGAATGTGTGGGCATGGAATGCTTGAGGTTTTTTTTTTAATAATTGTGCAATGTACTAAACCACATCTTTAAAAAAAATAATTGTTGTGGTGGAAGGATGTGAGGGAAGAGATCGGGGAACAGCTCTGATTTCTGTGAGAACTCTTGTTCAAGTAACTGCTTTCTGTGTGAGCTAAAGGTTTATTTCATACTTTTGTTAGAGACCATCCTTTGGTGGAAGCATCTAGATTGATGCAGTTCTAGGAAATGAAAGACTAAGATATTTACATAGGCCAGCTGAGACAGCCCACCTTCTCCTATCAAATCATAACTTCCATGGGTAAAATACAGAAGGAAAGGAATTCAAGAACGCTGCTTGCCTTCCTGTACATGGAACTCACTGAGGTACATTGGCAATAAATATATTTTGCAAATTGGCTTGCTTAATACTGAGGTGCTCTGTAAGATCTGTACTCTTGGTGGCAAAGGAGCTGAGTGACAGGTGAGCTTGCTCTGGAAGTAAAGTGTGATAATATTCAAAAACCATCCCAGTGCACAGTGTTGGCCAAAAGACCTTGATTTGGAGTAAAGCTCTGCATGGTCACTAAGAATGGGATTCAGCTCCCAGATGTAGGTTGTCTGCACATGGGTATGTGCATATGATCAGAGGTCCTTAACTCAGGCCAGTATCAACAGGAGCTCAATTCAGTTGCCTACACAAAACATGCTGTTTTGAGTGGTCTGGCTACTCTAGCAGTGTGGTTTTCTTGAAGATCTGGAGTCCTGTCTGACATCTCCATATGGATACCTTGAATGCTGGAGTGCATTTCAGATGTCACCAGAGGTGTACATGCAACTCCTTTGAGTCCTGGAGATCTTTCAGTGAAGTCTGTAGAGTCATTCAGTTAAGGTATCTAACGTGTGTGGACTTCAGTAGAGATGAACTCTTGTTACTAGCTTAGATACCTAGCTTGTAGGTAGATGTGAACATTTAGACACCTACATTTAGGATGGAATTCATATCGAGACTGTAGACACCCAAATTTGAATTACAAATTGATGAGTTTTATGGGCTTTTGCTTTTCATAAGGTAAGTAGGTTTCTTTTATATCCCTCCTTTTCCCAGCTGTTCCCTTATCACTTGACTCTTCTCAAGTAATAACAAGATCTTCACTTGCTGTTTACATTTGTTTTTTTGTAGGCTCTCATGTAGTTATGGAATGTAACATATCAAGTGGCATAAATGGCTTGATTCCATTCTGGCAAGTTAATGATGAGGATGTTGACATCTTTGATAAAACCTACAGAGAACAGTTTTATGAGTAAGTATCCTTATACATTGAATTTGTAGTGCATATGTAGGTGAATCTGCAGTAATATGCAGTGGGTTCATTATAAAGTAGACTACTAGTCAAATGCTATTAGTGATTGAAAGACTGCTTAGAAGCCTGTATCAAACATTAGTATACTTTTATTGCTTGGTTTTAAAAGAATAGCATTTAATACTGTGTCTGATACAGATGGAATGAAGCAGTCGTAGATTTTTATAATGGTATTGTGCAATACAGTTTTTTAATGCTTAGCTATGCATTTGCTCATATGTGATTTTTTTAAAATAGTACATTAAAGCCTGTCCTCTATCATTAATATGGGAAGGATAGATTTTTCCAAACTAAAAATTCATCCAATTTATTTTTATTTGTGAAAGTGATACTTTTCTAAGTGCAGACACAGCTGCTAATCCTCAAGGACACAAGGCAGAAACTCTTGTTGCAGGACATTTAGGTTCCAATGTTTGACTACCCTGAAGTAAAAAAGTATTCAGGTGAAATTTCAGATGGGAAAGTCATTCAGTTTGTGTTCACAGCATCTTGTAGAGTCAGTGGGCACTATTGAAAGGAGCCTGGCTCCCTCTTCTCCACTCCTTCCATCAGGTACTAACACATGTTGATGAGATCCATCCCCTGCCCCCGAGCCTTTTCTTCTCTGGGCTGAGCAGTCCCTGCTCTCTTGTATGATGGATGCTCCATTTCCGTATCTGTCACATTTCTGCACATGACTTGCTCCAGAAATCCATCCATCTCTCGTACTCAGCAGCCCAAAACTGGCCCTTCTACTCCAGTGTGATCTCACCAGTGCTGAACATCACTGAAAGATCATTTCCCTTAACCTGCTTGCAGTGTATTTCCTAATTCAAACCAGGATGCCTGGGATCTGGTTATTCCTTTGCATTTTGCTTTGAACTTTGTGAGTTTTTTTTTTTTCCATTTGTCCATTCTGTCAAGGTTCCTCTGGATGCTGGCTGTTGTATCAGACATTCCTCTGAGTTTTGTGTCACCTGAAAACTGCTAATGGTGCATTCTGTCCAATTTGGGGGAAAAACCCAACAAACCCAAGCCAAAAAAACCTGAAACAACTAAGCCCAGTATGTTTTTAGTTCATGAAATTGTTAGTTACAGAGGCATATTTACTGTGCTTCACTAGCTTCTTAGGTTTATAGAGATAAAAAAAATTAATGTATTTGTGGATAGATGAATCTGTCTCATATTCAGCATAGATATTCAGTTATGTACAGATGTTTTCCTTTTACCTTTTTTATGACAGAGAGGGGTTGCCTCATGGACTTGCTGTATCTGGAACAAAATTTAACATTTCAAAAGTGGAAGTAAAGGACTATGCTTATAAGTTCTTCTGCCACTTCATATATGGTTCTCAACAATTTACAGCCTACATAAAATTGGAATACCCGGGTAAGAGATCTCTTCTGGATAAAATGGTGATCATTGACTTACTTGTCATTTAGTTTGGCAATGCCCTACTTAGAATTAAAGCTGTGTGAGTACTTTCATGCAAAATGGGCAGTGCATCTCAGTACCTTTCTTTGTGAAATTTTTTGTCACATTCTTAGCAAAATGAAGGAAAATAGTGCTTTTGATTTGCTTTATCTTCTCTCATTTAGTATTTTGGGACTGAAAGTGAATATGAGCTCTAACTTGTTACATGACTAATTTTTTCATAAAGATTATCAGGGTAGGATTTAACTTCAGAAATTCTTTAATGCATTGACTAAAACATGAAGTTTGTGGAGGGTGTTTGTTTTAAGGACAGTAAATGAGTAGGCTCACTGACAGGTCATTGAAGGGGCAGAGACAATAGAAAGGTAGTTGCTCTGGGGAGGTTAGCAGGTCAGGAAATCACCTCCCCACCTTGGACTTCCTTGCTTTCCAACTGATAGAATTTTGTACAAGAATTCTTATTCTACTGCTGTGCTGGGTTATATGTCAGTATTTTATTTTGGTATTTCAGCTGAAGAGTAGCCTCATTTTATCATATTGTTGAGGTATTTTCCTCTGAAAGATAAAAGTAGGCTTATCAGATAACAGTAATGTCAGAAAATATACATAAAACAGTTTGGCCTGTTATTTCACTTCTTTTTAAACAGAAGTATTTTAATGATCAAACAATTTTGAACAATCCTTGTCTTTCCCTGGTTCTAGTTTATGCTCATAGTTTATTTGTTTTCTTTCTTATTCTATGCTGCTGCAGCTCAAAACATTCAGGGGTACTTAATTGGAGGAGGAGTTTCCTTGGTATTTTTAGTATTTTTTACTCTCTTTATCTACAAGATCTTCAAAATTGATATTGTGCTTTGGTATCGGGACTCCTGCCATCCTTTCCTGGGGAAAAAAGGTATGTTTATGTGCTAAGTGTTGTTTTGAGCTCCCACCTTTACTTATAATGCAGTGAGATATTCTCATGGATCATGATTGGTCTTCCTCGGGGTTTTTGAAAGGATAATACTGTTTTTAGGATGTTTAGAATTGGTTCAGATGAAAAAAACATCTACAGGAGAAAAACTCAGCAACTTTCCAGGAATTCAGAACTGTCATTGCTTTTCCTGAAGACACACCCTAGTGGTTTGAATACTGCTCTGACAAGCAGTTTTTCAGATTACTTTTAATTACTGTTGTTACATAAAGCAGTAATGCATTAGAAGTGTTGTGGTTTTTTTTATTTTCTATAGATGAAACAGGGAAATATAATTTTGTTTTGTTTTCTGTTTAAAGGCACTTCTGATTATTTTGCTTTCCTGGCATTCAAAAAATGTTGATAGGGTCTATGAAGTATGCTGATGTATGGATAATTTCCAGCCATCTGAGAGGAGATACTTTCTGTTTCTCTAGCTATGTATCTTCTAGAGGTATTGATATTCTCTTAGATTTTCTTAGAAGTCTTTTTAATTAGGTCTTTCTGAAAAGTCTGATCCAAAATACCTGAAACAATTCAAATGTCATTTTTTTTTTGTCATGTTTAACTGGCTGTTATGGTATGAAACTCCAGGTTGCAACACCACCTACGAATTTGATGGCAAATGGAATTTTAAGTATCAGTTGTACCACTGGGTCCACTGTTTTTCAAATAATTCAATGATGACATTTTTTTTATTTAGTGTTCAAATGAGAAAGTTTCAATTTAATTTTTTGGGTCTCTTTTGCCTGTTCAGATTCAGCATCCTGAATTCTAGAAGGCCTGGTCCTGCAAATATTTCAGGCTTTGTATAATAATACATGCTTATCTAGTATAGCAGGATTATGACCTAAAACAATGATTCAAGTAAGGGAAACCCCCTCAGAGTTTATAGATTTTGCTTGTTTGCTTGCTTGCTCTTGTATCTTTAGAATTTATTTTTATGGCAGTTTATTGCTCACTTCTTAGTTTCAGATGAGAAGATCTATGATGCTTATGTTCTGTATCCAAAGAGCAGAGAAAGCTGCTTGTATTCATCAGATATTTTTGCTCTGAAGATACTGCCAGAGGTCTTAGAAAGACAGTGTGGATATAGCCTCTTCATACTTGGGAGAGATGATTTACCAGGAGAAGGTAAGTTAGCTGAAGACAAATTTGACTTGAATTTTCTCATTGACCTGGAAATAGAACTGAGAAACAAGCAGTCAGTCAGATGGGAATATAAATATCTCTCATCATCAAATGAATTTTTTTTTTTTTTTACAGTTGAAGGCTTTTGGTAGTGATTTAAGAAGGAAGGGTTCCCTGAGAAGTAGAATCTAAAGTGCTCCTTAAATTTTCTGGCTTGAAAAAATGCAATAGTCTGTTCTTGGGGTTTAGTCCTGGGGTTTTTGTGTGGTATTTACCATATTTCACTTTTTGTGACTTAACTGACTAGAATGCCATTGATGGAGGGAATATTTTTTTTCTCTGCCACTTATGTGTTACAAAACCAGTTGAGCAAATCAGAAACAGACTATTTAAGGTAAAAAACTCCTGTGGTTCTATAACTTGTTTTTTTTTTGTTGGTTTTTTTTTTTTTTTTTTTTTTTTTTTTTTTTTTTTTTTTCATTTGTACCTATGATGGTAATAAAATGGCATTAGCAAAATAAGTAGTAGGTAGCTGGTAGCTTTTCTCTGTTTCTGCAAAACAAGGATATAGACATAGACTTTGATGGGGTCAGATTGTGTTGCATTGTCCACATTTCTGTGGTAGGCTAACCCAAGGTAACTGCTTGCATGTTCATATCCTCTCCCTATTTTGATGTAGAGTGTGTCGGCCTAAATATCAAACAGTTGATGAACCAGCTGCAGAATACTGGAAACAGAAAGTAGAAATGTACAACCTTAATTTTGCACAACCTTGTTCTCTACAGCTGTGATCAGCGTTGCTGATGAAAAAATCCGTCAAAGTAGGAGAGTGATAATTGTTTTAGTACCAGAGCCCTCCTGCTACAGCATTCTGGAAGATGAGTCTGAAAAGCAGCTAGCCATGCATAGTGCTCTTATCCAAGATGGCATTAAAGTAATTCTCATTGAACTTGTAAAAATACAAGATTATGCAACCATGCCAGAATCCATCAGATATATTAAGCAAAAGCATGGGGTTATCCAATGGAAAGGGGACTTCTCAGAAAGGTCCCACTCAGCAAGAACCAGCTTCTGGAAGAAAGTGCGCTACCAGATGCCATCCAGAAAAAGTGGCTCTTTATCACGATTGAGTTTGTTACCAAAAGACTTGAATCTGCCTTAAATAACAAATGAGAAATGACACTTAATTACTGATTCAGTTCACACAGTTGGTGATTGACTGAAGGTCCCATGTATCTGTTTTGTGGAATCTCATCCAGATTTACTGGAGTGAAGGTACTACAGTTTCATCTACAGATATTAATCTTTTTTACTTCTGGCTGGATCAACAGAACACTGTGAAATATCATCAGTAGCACATGTAGGAAGTACACAAGTACTTTTCCAAGAATGATTCTGCGAAGTTCCTTTGTATTAAAAATGAAAGGACGAAAAATTGTCTTGAAGCCAATGAAGAAAATTTGATTTTTTCCCCTGCAATTAAAGTTTCAATATGAAGGGAATTACACCAATTATTGTTGTGATATTATGTAATGTGCATGGCTGCTGCCAGTACATGTTTGTTTCTTTTTTTTAATGAAACAACACAAATCTTTTCTTTGTTACAAGTTTGTTATTTGCCTTGTTCAGTTTGTGGAAAGATAAATCCCCCTGTTACTGCATCAGTGTGTTATCATCCAGGAGAATTCACAGAATTCACATCCAGGAGAAAAGGTAAGATCTTTTTTACATTTGAAAGATCAATGCCATTTTTAGTCACTTGTCACATGCAGATGTTGTAAAAATACCTTTATAATCTGTATCGAGTAAAAAAATTATTCTCCAGAGAACTTTTTCTTTTCAGTTAAATGGCTTAATATATTTATTTACCCAAGTGGAACAATTGGGTAATGACACAGAATCTGTCATGGGAGGTACAGGATGATTGACTTCATCCACCTTACCTTAAGGACCATGTCAAGGGACAGAGATAGAGAGAGAGAGATGCCCCTATGGTAACCCTCTGCAGCTGCTTGCTTTTCTCGTTTCCCTCTGCTCTGATATGTAAGGAATCTGAGATGACTGTATGCTGGAGGCTGCAGTCATGGCTTTCCAAACAAAAGTGAATGGAAGTTGTGTAAAATGTTGAAACCTTTATCTTTAAATATTTTTAATAGTATTTTGTATACCCAAAGTGTTAACTCTAAAATTATGTTTGACTTGTAGGCAGTGATGTGGTTTGCAATGATCAGTTCTTTTTTTGGGGCAGATAATTGATTTGAATGATTCGAAAAATTCATCAGACCTCTTTAATACTATGTTCATAGCTATTAATTTTATAAAGGCAGGAGATGAGAGCCTAATTTCCTATATAATTTTAGTCTTGAATGTTATGCTTTTAGGTTGTGAGATTGATGAGGTTGTGTTGTATAGGGAAGCCTCAGGAATTGACTGTTACTGCTGCTTGCAACTCTGAATTTCTGTGTCCTATCAGCTTCTTTCTTGAGTACCTTTTGCTCTCCTCCATTCAAACTCCAATCTATATTTTCTCTTGCAGCTCCTTTATCTAGAAACAAGCAACTTGCCTTTGTGCCAAATTCCATCACTTTCCAAGCTCTGATTGAAGGTTCTTGCTAATACAGTATTAGGCAGAAATTTTCCCTCTGGTATCTTTACTTGTTTGTCTGAAAAAAAATATGTTCTGTAACCTTCAGAATTAATCTATTCATTTACACACTGCAGTGTTGGCTTTTCTTCTTTCATGGCTCAAACAATTTCTTATGCCTCTATAGTTAACCAAACAAAAGTGTTCTGGCTGATAAGTGACAAAAACAGTGGAATTAAGTTCTTTTCCCAACTAAATTAAGTGTGTGCTGGAAACTAGAGACAGTGCCTTCTGAGCTTTGTGAGTCGTGTGTGTTTGGCCAGAATGGAATAAGAATCTCTTCATTTCAAGAGGAAGGGGGAAAAGTGCATTTGAAATGTCAGACTAATTCGATACTGAAGTGTTTGATGAATGTCATGTATGTACAGACCTATGCAGATGCTCATAGTCATTTCTCATTCTGTGTTTTATTCACAAGAGAAGTGTCAAGGGACGATCAGTCCTAGTCATGAAGTGCAACATTTACTTAGCTGTTCATGCAGTCTGCCTTTAAATATGCTGTGTGTTCAGTGGCAGCCTGTTGTAGGATAAAAGAGCCTTGAGATCCATCTGAAGTTACTGAAAACCATCTGAACAAGGCTAATTGTTACAGTTCACACTGATAGAAGACTCAAATAGGACAGAAGCTGTATGGTTTGGTCATAAAACTCTTCTTTAAGAAGATCCCTGTATCACATGTGAGGACCAGACGCTGGTATTATGGTATTTGTACTGAGAACTAGGGTGTAACACTGATTTTGTGCTTTCACTTTGACAGCTCACAGTCATGCGGGCCAGCCAACAGAGTTCCAGTGACCTCAATCCTCCTAAAAACTTCTGCTGACTGAAACAGATTGAAAGGAGGACTGCTGCTTGTTACCCCTAACTTTAGGAATGGAAGGCTATTTTACTGAGCCAAAATAGTGTTTTTAAAAAAATATTTGATTCTTTTGATATATTTATATAAATAATGCTAAAGTTTTTATGTGTGTTATGTAAAAGCACTTTGAGGAAGAGTCCATTTTAAAATTTAATAAAGACACTACATTTTTTTTTTCATATGCACTGCTGTTTCTTTTGCCCTCATTTCTCCACTTTAGCATACTAAAGCATACTGAGAATGGACAATGGCAAACAGCAGTTGTGATTCGGTGGCTTAACAAGACTGCTATATAGTGGCTTAACAAGACTGCTATAATAGATCTTCATTCAGGCTGCTGCCAGTCAGTCTGGCTGCGGTACAACACTAGCACAAGCCACCTCACCATGCCTGAGCAAACAGAGGCTTTGAGCTTGGCTCTGCTCTCTCTGGTGCTCTCCTTGCAGCAGGGTGAAGCTAGAGCAGCCCCAAGGCTGCTGCATTGCTGTCTGAGACTGACATGGTCCTGAATAGTGCCTTTTGCTGCAGCTCCTCAGGAGCTGGGAAATGACCTCAAATGGGGTAAATGTCAATTGCTTCTCAGCAGCAATGGAGAGGCAGCCTTCTGTGCTCAGCCCCTGGAGCAAATGCTTCCTCTCTACTCAAGGAAAGCCAGACCCTGTGCTGTAGGGGTTGGTATAGCCCAGAAACCAGTTGTGTCCTGGGCTGCATCAAAAGCAGCATGGCCAGCAGGGTGAGGGAGGTGATTCTGCCCCTCTGCCCTGATGAAGCCTGACTTGGAGTGCTGCATCCAGCTCTGGGGTCTCCAACAATGGCTTGGAGCAAGTCCAGAGGAGCCCACCAAGTTGGTTAGAGAGATGGAGCACTTATCGTGTAAGGAAAGGTTGAGAGAGTTGGGACTATTCAGCCTGGAAAAGAACTTTGAGGTGAACAAACAGTGACCTTCCAGGGCCTGAAGGGAACTTGCGCAAAAGATGGGGCAAGACTTTACAAGAGCATGTCACGACAGGACAAGGGGAAATGGCTTCAAAGTGAAAGAGTGTAAGTTTAGATCAGATACCAAGAAAAAATTATTTACTCTGAGGGTGATGAGGGACTGGAATAGATTTCCTGGGGAAGCTGCGGATGCTCCATTCCTGGAAGTGTTCAGGTCAAATGGATCTTTGAGCAACCTGGTGTAATTGATGGTATCCCTGCCTGTGGCAGACACTTTGGAACTAGACAATCTTCAAGATCCTCTTGCAATCCAAACCATCTCTACGATTCTATGAGTCTGAGTAACCTGGCTGACTTGTCCTTGCCTCCCAACTTGAGTCTCACACAGGCTCATGCTGATTGCAGTAGCTCTAGTGCATAGATATGGGGCAGTGGAGTGCTGTGCTTCTTCTGCACCTGCCGCTTCTGAAGAGTGGTTTCACTGCAGGATTCAGGTTTTCTGCAGGTATGAGTGATTTGTTCCAAGTTATGCCTCTTCTTTTTTTTCTTTCCTTTTGTCTGAAGTTCCTTACATTATATTAAAAAAAAAAAATGTAGTGAAACCAGAAAAATGAAGACGTGAAGGGAGGGGAGGATGGAGGCAATGGTAATTACTCATTTTTAGAAGATTGCTTGCTTTGTGTTAGTATGTCAGACAGCAGGGAATTTGATTTTTAATGCAATGCACTTCCCTAACCTTATGCACCGATTTCACTAGAAGTTAATGATGAAATAGTATTTAGGAAATAAAGATGAAATAATATAAATGTGACACACCAAAATGCTTACTCAATGGTTTTGTCTTCATTGTATGACAATGTCATGGTTTGACACTGGCACAATGCCAGTGCCCCCATGAAAATGTGATCTCTACCTTGAATGCTGTGAAGTGGAATCTAGAATAGAGCAAAGCAGGCCCAAGCTTGATAACAGGAAAAAAACTTTATTAAACTACCACTACAAAAGAAAAGAGAAAACTAAAGAAGGGAAAAAAAAACACACAAAGATCCAAATGAAAACTTTGCAAAACATTCCTCCCCCCACCACCTAACTCTAACAAACTACAGTGAGACACAATCTGGACCCCAATCAGGTTTCCACCCTCCAAGCAATCGATACTCAGTCCATCAAGGGAACAGAGTCTCTCCTGTGCCACAGACCCCCTAAGAAACACAGTTTCACATCTTGTGTTTCTATGTCACACATGGCACCGCCCGGAGAAAAAGTTTGCCATGGTGACCCTTCTCCTTTCTATGCACAGTGCTCTCACCACCAATGCATGGATGGTCACTGCCTTTAGGATTTTTCCTTTCAAGGATGCCCTGCCAAGAGGGGAGAAAACAACAGTTCAGTTTTTCATTTTTTTTTGGGACCAGAGTCCCCCCCATTTTCCCCTGGGGCCGAGGGCTCAAGAACAGAGATCTTCTTCTCTTCTCTTTTCCTTTCCAGGGCAAGGGGGTGCCACTACAAACTCCCCAACCTTTTCTCTGTTCACTCCACTTTTGTCTTTTTCTCAGCTGAAGCAGGTCTCTTGACTCACTGGCATCTTCCCAAAAACACAGTCCCTCTTGAAGGAGAAGATTTGGTTCAGGTTGTGGCTAACATGGAAAAGTCCAGCCAAAAGCTACTCCTTGTCCCCCTCCTATCCAGAATTCCTCCTTCCAACATCCCATCCCAGGGTCCAAGGTGTCTCTCTTCCTCTCTTTCAAACCGAGGAGGGGAAAGGAAAATTTACAAAGCTTTCATTTTTCAAGGAAGGGTTAAAAGTCCGAACTTCCAGGATGGCTCGATGCCCAGACATCCAGCAACTTTCACACACTGAGCACCTTGCAGCAGCTCCCCCCGCTCCTCCTTCCTTGCGGCTTTCTCTCTCCCTCTCGGGAGAGGAACTCTGGGGGGGGGAAATGGAGACATCCCAGATTTCTTCCACCCTTCCATCTGCAGGGGCCAGCCCGGTTCCAGTCTTTTCACCACCCTTGGGGCTTTCGGCCTACCTTTCTCAGGCCATGGGCTTCCCCTCCCCCACCCAGCTCGTGGCTGGGCAGGGGAGGTTTGCACTGCACGCTGACCGGAACCAAAAAGAGCGAGTTCCCCTGGGAATTCTGCTTTCAACCCCTCTGTGTTCTCAGAGGCGTGTCTATTTTCAATTGGTCAATATCTAAATTGACTTCTTCCTTCCGGGAAAAATTATCTTTCCGTGTCAAACTACGACA